GTTCCCCTGCCACTACAGTCGCTGCAAGGATACACCAAGCCGCGAGCCAACGCAACATCTTCGACCAGGCTACAGTCAGGAAGCTCGGTACAGTAAGGCGACTTGCTTTGAGCCACGAGCTGATAGGTAAGGCCGCTCAACATGACGGCTGCCTGCGAGCAGCGAATGTGCTGCCAAGAAAATTCACCAAACTCTCATGCTTGCTTTTTAAAATGCAATGAACACACAACACACGCAGTGTCAGAGGTCGTACAAACTGAAAGGTTGCTAGCAAAAGTCACTAATATTCGTACGAGGAGCCAACCCCCGTGCAGCTACTTACAAACTTGCAGCTCGCTCCCCTTCAAATTTACCTTTTCTCCCTTCACCAGCTGGAGCTGTATGTTTCTCATTGGCCGCGACTGAAGGTACCCATGGTTTAGAAGTTTAGAAGGGCATCTTGCAACTCAAGCTTTCCAGATTCTGAATCCAAATCAGGAGCCAAGAATCCCTAAGGCCTTTCGGCAAGATCTGGTTAGAGCAAAGAGCTGAGTGAACCTCAAGCCCAGGGTTGTATCTGTCAACTCTCACCCTAGCATCACATGACATAAAGTTGACGTATATTCCTTAATAGGTCTCCCTATACCCCCTGTATCTATCCCCCTGTAGGTCTCCCCAGCCAAACTGGTCGGTAGCTCACATGTTTTTGCATCAGCATCCCGCTCAGCCGTGCGGTGGACGGGCGTCGCAGCCTCCATCAGGCGCAGCATTCAATCCGAAATGTCATTCGTGGGTGGCTTGAAACCGGGAGTCCAGGATTCTTGAAGGTATGCTCGAGAAACTCCCATAGATTCAAAACAAAAGTACACTCAAAACGAAACCTCTGCTTTGAACAATGATGCGAGAACGGATCACATTGCTGGGGTCCCCCGGTCCCTGTGGAACTTTGGCCTGAGGCTTCAGAGTTTCAAGCTCCGAGGTTCCTAGCTATTCGGGTGTACTTGCTATGATTCCTAGCGATTGGGGTTGATTTTTGGCCAAGCCAGATTCATAAAACATCTGGCAATGCTCAAGATGTTCCTGAATCAGGCCTTCAAGATGTAATGTCTCAAAATGAAAGATTGGAGATTTGGTTCTCTTGGCACTCGGGCTTTTCAGTCTGCTGGTGATGCTCAGAGCTACGCAGAGACCTCTTGCTTCGTAACTCCTTGTGGAGCTTTGTCACTTTTTTTGCCGGCGGTCGAAGCTTTCCTCAATGGCTGTCAAGAAACTGGCACACCAAGTCATTAAAAGAAGGAAACCCTGCTATTTACCAAGTTACATGATACATATAATGATAAGTCTCTTAATTTAAGCTGCTCAAGGTCCTTGACAGCAAGCCAGTTTCACCGATGAAGTGAACTTGTGTAGATCGTCGGGGAAATATCATGGTAAGGCTCATTGGAAAGCGGTAAGTTCGAAGCTCCACCTCATGTCACATCAATCCTACAATGAATTCATGTGGGCACACCTTATCAACAACATGTCTGTCTTTTTTTGGGCCTCCCATGTCTTCCTGTTTCATCAAGCTTCAGCAGAGCTTGTACATACAGAGCTCAGAATTCAGCGAGCAAAGTCTGACAAGAGTCCTCGATCTAGGAGATTTGCAACAATCCTACGGAGGACGTGTCTAAACAAATGCTGGCTTTCGCTGACAACTTATCAAACTTCAAACGCAATCTCTCTTGGATAGGTTGTAACTTCAGATGTGGCTCATTACAGTGTAGGCTCGTCTTAAATTGCAATGCCCACTGTTGTGCCAATTGGAATGAGGAGTGTGGGGTGGGCGGACTGGGTGATACACCCCCATCTACACCCCCATCCCCCGCACCCGCCCAACCCCACCTCGGCCCTGGCCCTACTCAAAAACCGATTAGACAGAAACAATATGTTGCATTGCTCTCAAAGCTTGATAACTGCCAACCCTCTCCGAGGAGCATAAAAGGCAACTGCGTCGCTTCCAGGTAACATTGGATTGCAAGGACCCAAAGCCTTACGACTGCCTCAGACCCTCCCCAGCAATTCCTCAATCTGAAACCGGAAGTAGAACATTGCTGAAAAGTCCACTACTTTCACATGGCTTGGGGCCCCTCACCATGCGCACCAAGCAGACAGTAGACTAGCATCATGCCTGACGTCATTCCCATGCCTTGCACCAAACAGAACACTATGAACAATTTCTGAAACTCCTTAACATGACCCCCATGGACACGTGGCAACGTTAAGCCCTGCTACTCCCTGTCATAGAGTCCCCCTTCATGGCAACTACCCTAAGTCACCTCACAAAAAAAAAATGCGCTACTCCAGTCAACGGAAACAGTCCTGGCTGAAGCTGGTGCGTCCTTTGTATCCTAGGGTTCGGATCCCTAAGCCATGAAATATAGCCATTATCTAGTGAACGTGGGACAGTAAACCCAAGGTTACAAACATTTAGGCTACAAACTGAAAGTCTTTGAGACATCGAGCTACTTTAACCCAGCATGGTCTTTAGAGAAAGTCAGGTACTCAGCAAAAGCCCCTTCATGACAAACCCAACATAACTTCAGTCATTCAAGGCTTTGCTAGCCTAGCAGCAGAAATCTTGAGAAGTTTGCGGAAGATCGACCTAACTGGGGGTTCGGGGAGGGTCCCTTATTTGGGGTCGACAGAAACCATCATGTAATCCGTACGCACCCACACTTGGAAACCTAAATCCTAAGCCTCAACCTTTAGAGGCAACGTAGATTTTGATAGTTCTTGTTGCTGACATTGTAATTGTCTGCAATATGTTTTCTACTCATATTTAAGCCCCTTTAACGGATCAGAAAATGGCTCAGTTTTCCCCGGCCTTCCTCAGAGCTTTGCCGTCTTGCCGGGGCCCATTGCTCTGGATTGCTTTTCCTCAGATTTAGGGCTTTTCTGTTTCAGGTGGTGAGCTACCAGGTGCATACCTAGGAGGAATATGAGGGCATGTAGCGGGGCAACCACCTACCTGAAAGTTAGAGAGTTTAGGTCTTGAGCTTGGCAATTCCGGCTTGGAAGTTTTGGAACTTTGATTTCAGGCTTGCAACGCAAAGAGCTTCGAGCTCTGCATTTAGAGATTCATTGTCAGACCAGGAGCGGCAACGACAATGGTCTGGTTGTGAAAAGCTCCCTGCATTATGATGCCGCTATCATTAGGTTCCTGAGCTTTTGAGGTGTGGCCAACGTTACCATCAAGCTGCTAAGGAGGTTACAAGTATCTGGCCCATGCGGCGTGTAGCCTGGGTCGAGACTACTCCTTGGTTCCTCACGCATGGCCCTTGCTGTGCCTGGGACAGGTGCTCGTCCGCATCCTGTCTAGCTGCGAATATGAAACACCACCTACCCCACACCATTGAATGTGCTGTCCAACAGTGTGTACATATGGGCGTTTGAACGATATACAAAAATACATATATATGTATATGTAGTATTAAGCTTCAATCTTTGGGCAATGTAAAAATGGGCCTGTCGCAGTTTCAGTGCCTTTGGTTTGGTGTGTCAGTTTTAGGTGTTAGGTCCTTTTTGCTGATGTGCCGGGCACACCCGGCTGCTTGCACAAGTCATGACATAATTAGACGTGGTCTATGGCGTATGTGACTTGGAGATTGAACATTGGGCTTTACCAGGGATCCTATGGTCTGTGGTTTTCAGGTGAAGCATACAAGGACTATCTTGGGTTCTCTTTTCATTCTGCTAGTTGAGGAACATAAAGAACTTTTCCCGACATAAGGCAACCCTACTCGTCCTTGACAGCAGTGCAATATGGTACACCTAGACCTACCTAGGACTTGTAGCAAGACAACACATGAGATAAATAGCTATCGGCTATGTCGCACTTTGCTCCCCACATGAGATGCAGCACTCCTCGTAAGAACCTGCTTTGGAGCTTCTCTTTCAAGTCTTTGCTGCTTGGGCTGTTGGGTTGGAGGTTTGCACGTAGCAGCAACCGTGAAAAACAAGCGGAAATCATAGCGAATTACCGCTATAGGAATTCATGTCGCTGCCATGCTCAGGCTGTTTGGTGCAGGAAATGTCCTTGCAGAATTCTTGGAAGTCCTGCGCAAAGGAGGGATGCCAGGTCAGCAACCAGCAACTGGGAAATCTCCATGAAAGCACAAGCGCGAAAACTCATTACCCTAACTCCATGTGCCCTTGAGATCCAGATGTAAAAATGCAAAGAATAGTAGGAACGAAACTAACCTAAATCATCATCATCATCATCATCATGATTCTTATCAATGTCTTGCATACTGCCAAGTGCTATTTCATGACATGCTTAGCAATAGTTATATGGCCAGGCTTTAAAAAGCCCACAAACAAGCTGAGCTGCGACACCTCGAGAGATTCTTGACACCATCTCCCGCGGGATCATCGCTTTTTTGCCAAACCTCATGTACAGGATGAGTCTGATTACGACTACAGTCTACAGGAGTTGCGGGTGTGTGACGGGAATTCACATTTTGGAAACTCCCACTCCCGTGGCTTCGAGCGCAAAGCTCAGGTTTAGGGCTCAGAGGCTCTTGACCAATGGCACCCAGGGCTTCACAGACATCAGGAGGATACGGGCAACAAGGCAGAGGAAATTTCAAGAATGCTGGAACTGGCGTGGAGTGCGGGGCAGACAGGCATTGGGAATTTAGGAATTGATGCCCCCAAATGTCAGCTACCCCGTTGCCTGCTTCCAGCCGCACCTTACTTCAGCAGGGTGCGGAGAATCAGCTGTTGGCCATGGTTTATACGATTCTCGTGTGTGACAACAATGTCTGAAAACGTACGGAGCAAAGACTGTGCCTTTCTGCATGTAAAGATCGCAGCATGTTCCTTCATTCTTTCCCTTCATCTTCCCTCTATCCAGCTTTCGGAATAGTCATGGGCGGTCTCTTTGTGAACAACTTTGGAGTCTTAGTATGCAGAACCCTTAGCATGACAGCCCCTCATCTGAAAGGAAGAGCAGACTCTGAGCAAAGTCCTTATGTGCACTGGTAAGATGCTGCACAGCATGTGCGCAAGAAACTCGAAAGCCAGTCCCAAACACGATGATTGAAAGGAGCATAACCGAGCAAAAAAGGATAGTAACAACAGCAACAATTGTAAGCGACAATAATAAGATTGCTGAAACTACTAGAAAGTTGGCATAGTCATTATCAAGTGGCGCACGGCTGGTCAGTTTTTGGGGAGGCCAGAACCTGGTGGGTCTGAGATTTGCCAGGAAACCTTTGCAGCGCATCTTATGGGAGTGTCGGGCACTAGGGACATACAGGGGTTGTGTGGGAATTATAATTCTTGAATTTCAGGATTGGGGCCAGCAGCTGATAATGATGAACCTGGCGTAAGAAGAAGATTCGCAAGTACATGCAGTCACGGCACCATTCTCCACCATCCACTGGCAAAATCTGTCCGGTGATGTATGTGTTCAGGCAGAGGTATATGCAAGCTGATGCAATCTCCTGGGATGCATAGGGAGTGGTGTAGAGTTTAGGGATCAAGGAACAGCAGTTGGGCTGGATGCTGCTCCACCCTGAGCAGTCTCCCAATGTTAGATACATGTACTGGATAGAGTCAATATCCAAGACTTGGGACTTTTACAGACAAGGGCTATAGCTAAGTGAGTCAGAATGACAGTTAAACTTTCTAATGCAAAGTTCGGGGGCATACTCAGGACGTCCGACATCAATCAAGGTGTGCTGAAACTCCTGAAACACCAATGCAATCCTGATAGTGAAATGTTCCAACCATCTGTGGGCCAAGACGACTGAGGGGGCGTAGGGTTCAGGGTGTAGGTGTATTTCCTCTTCTTTCCTTTCCCAAATGAATTATCTCTTCTTCCAAACTCTGGTCCTCTCAGCGTGGAATGCTAGATTCTGCTAGACTGATCCGTTCAATGGGAGGTACCAGGAGTCCAGCTGGAGCCAAACAGGAAATCAAAATCCTAGTGCATCAAACGACGGATACAAAAGCAAAAGCGATTAGAAAGGCATGAAGAAGTTTCAAGGGAGGTAGACTACTGAGAATCTGAAGAGATACAAGCAGTCACAAATCACACGTATGAAGCCATAAGAAAGAGAACAGTTTTTGCTTCATACCGATGATGTAGGAGGCACTACAAGTAGCTGAGGGGCATCCTGAAGAAATGAAGTTAATTGCGTTGGTGTCATCTGATCTCAATCCATTCTTTACATGCGTCTGCGTGGCTCTTGCATCACTACTTGACGCATGACTGCTGACGCATAATTGCATAGAACAGCACCGCTATCTTTTACGGCGTTCAGCATCTTTATGTTTTCTTCCATCGCCATTGTACCTCTTGGCCGTATTGTCGTGACTCCGGTTGGGCCCAGTGCGTCTCATGGCATGCAAGACCCCATCCAAGAATCCTCATCCTTGTTCAGATAGCTGGTGGAGGATATGGGGGCTTCCAGGAATTTAGAATCAGGGATCCTTTTTTGGGAGACCCCCAAAAAACAAAGACTCTGGCATTCTGGAGGCAACATTATATATATATATGCGTGTACATATATATATATATGAGCC